TATGATCATCAATAAAAGTAATGAACCAACGCTTTCCAGAAAGAGTTGTTACTCAAGAAGGACCCCAAACATCACTTTGAATCATGGTAAATGGTTTTGATTTTTTATATGGTTGGGACGGAAAAACAGCACGGTGATGTTTTGCTAATTCACAAGATTCACATTTAAAACATGAATGATTTTTATTCATGAATAACTTGGGAAATAGATGCTTTAAATATTGAAAGCTAAGATGTCCTAACCAATAATGCCATATCAAAACTTCACTATCACTAGAAACAGAGATAGAGCTGAAACAAGTTTATCGGTCTTGCCTTTCAAAGGTCGATCCTTTATTAAAGAGGTAGAGGCCACCATCCAGTTTAGCACCCCCAATCATCTTCCCCGAGGTTAAATCCTGAAATTCACAACAAGAAGACAAAAAATTAACTCGAYAATTATGATCAAGGGTTAGTTTGCTGACAGATAAGAGATTGTATGATAGGTTAGGAACATGTAGAACATCTTTAAGGTTTAGAGAAGGAGAAATAGATACAGTTCCTTTCCCAGCAACAATAGCAAAGGAACCATATGCAATTTTAACCTTGGGCACAGGGTGTATATGAAGAGAAGAATTGTGAAGTGCCAGTCATATGATCAGTGGCACCTGAATATAATATCCAGGAGTCATTAGATTTGGTACAAGCAATGGCTGCAGTGAAAAAATTACTTGACTGAGCTAGAGAGCAGGATGGGTTAAAGTTTCTTAATGATTGAGATTGAAACATTTTATATAAGTGCTCTATTTGTTCCTTTGTGAAAGGAAGAGACTCTGAGGATGATTGCTGCCCTGGATCCGAATTGCTTACTTGAAGCGCGCGGACATCTCCCCCTGATTTGTTGTCACTGTCTGATTTTTTCTTCCACATTCGGGTATTCAGTTCGAACAGTTGTGAATGATTGTCCAGATCTGAATAGGTTTCCCTAACAGCTTCCCACACATCATGAACAGTCGGTAGGAACATGAATGGTTTTCCAACCACAGGATCCATAGAGTTGATCAGCCAAGCGATAACCATAGAATTTTCAGAACGCCACTGCCTGTACTTTGGATCATTAGTGGCTGGCGGTTTTACTTCACCATTCAAATAGCCGAGTTTCCCTTTGCCGTCGATCACCAACCACACGGACCGAGACCACTCAAGATAATTCTTTCCATTCAATTTGTGAATGGTAATTTGAAGAGAATTCTCAGAAAGAGAGATGGCCACTGGTAGCATCTGAAGAGGCTGAACCAGAGCCAACCATGGCGGCCTTAACATTCATGATCGGACCCTAAAGCTCTGATACCATGTGGAAAAATAAAGAGGAAGAGAAGAAGAAATGAAGAGGGAGAGAAGAAGAAATACTTCTGTATTGATAATGTGTTGATAAAACATGTTGAGCATACAACTTAAATAAGAAAAGATAGGAGAGACAAACTCCTAGGATCTCTCTCAATTACTCCTAGAATCTCTCTCAATTARGGATTGATTAAATCTTTCCCTTAATCCTAGGATATGACTTTCCTAATTTTATTCAAATCTAATCTTTCCTAAATTTATTTAAATCTGTAATCAATCAAATCAAATCTTTCTAAATTTGCAGCAAATCATATCTTTCTTAATTTGCCGCAAATCATATCTTGCCGACATTTCTTTGTAAAATGGATAAAAAGTTCTTCAGACGCAAGTATTTTGTCCTTTTACAATGAGAGCTATGTTTTCTGCCTTTCGAAAGGGTATAGAAATGTTGCACCTGATCCTACATTGATATAAACCGAGACAAATGTGTTGTTTTCTTTGCCATATTTTGGTTACATGCGGAGAATAAATATTTTATATGTTTTTGTATGCACATTCATACCCAAAAGAAATTCTTTAAGATGTTTATTGCACTTTTTCTGTTATATGGGTCGATTATTATTCTTCAATCATTTAAGTTGCAACTTCTTTTTGACAAATTTTGTGTTGACTTGATGTGAAGTTTCCGAGTGTTTAATGATGTGCTACTCACAGAAACCTTGTACATTATCCTTGTTTTCTTTTCTTTTCTTTGTTTAGGACTTAATTAATTATTAATCCTATAATTAATTATGCCACTATTAATTCTTTCCCGTTTGTATTTCTATGTCTGATGTGTCCCGACATGTGTCACCAATTTGTGTTCATATAGCTTATTGATTATGGAAATAATTCTCAAGAAAAAAAGATTATTGAAATAATTCTTGTGTGTATTGTTTCTAGTGTCTGTGACTGTGTAAGGGTGTCAATGGACCGGTTTTGGATTGGACCCTGTCCAGTCCAAAATTAATTTGGACGGACCAACAAGACATATTGGATTGGATCAATCTGGTCCAAAATATTTATTAGATTGAATTGGACCTGGTCTGTCTGTAACAAATTTATATTGGATTGGGCTGGATTAAGCTAATATCTGGTCCATTGATATAAGATAAGAATATATGTGTCAATGGACTGGGTTTGGGTTGAAACCAATCTAAATCAGAATGAATTTGAACAGATTGAACGGTTCAGACATTGAATTGGACCGGTCTAAATTAGTCCAAAACATTCATTGGATTGGATTGGACCTGGTCCATTTATAATGGACTCACATTAGACTGGATCAGATTGGACCAAATCCAGTTCAATTGACACCCCTAACTGTGTGCATGTATCTTTATGGGTTATGTTCTGTGCTTAATGCTATGGAGATACTGTTTCTGTTGTTAAGAATATTTTTAGACATTTTAAATCCTGTTTCTTTAGGTGGTTGAGTTGAATGTTAAAGTTGAGGAGCCAGGGAAGGACAACGTTCATAACAATGCATTCTATGCCGAAGAAGATCTACTCAGATCAGAATTGCAAGCAATGCGCGATTGCAATCCTTTAACTGCTCGCCATTGGATTGTAAGACATACTTTGTTGATGTTGTTTTTTTCATTGACTTTCAAAAATCTGCTTGCCTACTGCTTGTCTTTTCTGATTATACTCCAGTTGGACTCATGCTGCCGCAATTTTTTCTTTGGCATCAGGATATTATTGTTTGATTGTTTGTGCATTCCTTCATGTTTCAGGTCAGGAACACAAGAAGTGTTAACCGAACTGGCCAACTAACAGGATATAAGCTTGTCCCTGGTTCTAATTGTTTGCCTTTAGCTGGTTCTGAGGCAAAATTTTTGAGAAGAGCTGCTTTCTTAAAACATAATCTCTGGGTTACGCCTTATTCACGTGATGAGATGTATCCTGGTGGAGAGTTTCCTAATCAAAATCCACGTATTGGTGAGGGATTGGCTACCTGGGTCAAGCAAGATAGATCACTTGAAGAAACTGATATAGTTCTCTGGTTGGTTCCACATATCCTTTTTAATGTTGAAAGCATATTTATGTTGGACACAAGCAAATATCATTGTCTCATGTATACATATATTTGCTGGTGCTACAATCTCCATATATCATAACAGTTTTTGGTTTCCTGTTGGTCTGATTATTCAAAATATGTTTCTGATAAATGAATTGTGCTACATGATTAATTTATTGGGATTTATATGATAAATTGTCATTCTTGAAGTGCTTCAATGAAAGTATTAGATTTAACGAAACAAAGTTGCTTTTCAAAGAAAAAGAACGATTAAACCAGTTTAGCAGACAGATCAGACTGGATGGTTGAACCATAAGAATTGAGAACAAGCAGTCAAAATGTTTTGTAGGCTGTATGGTCATTAGAAATGTTGATTTGGTCAAACCTACCTCACATAGGTGTGTTATTATCTATTTTTTTGGTAAGTAATGTGTTATTATCTATTATAACCTATCATATTTATTCTTTTATGCTTTTTTATGTAAAACAGCTTTAAAAAGATAATCTGGATTTGTTTTATTTTATTTTTTGCAATTTTTATTTGAGCAACTTTAATGATTGAACTGGATGGTTGGAAGGTTCAACCTGTGACCGAGTAATCAAAGTGGTTTTGGTTTTGCGTCCAGTCCAAGACTGTCAACATTGGATGAAAAACAGTGAAATGAATTACTACAAAATTTGAGGCCCATATTGTTTCTTGTATTTTGGTTGTGCAACTTGACTTTATTATGTGCTTTTTGTTGTCTTCCCAAAAAAGTTGTGCACTTTATTGCTGCTCTGGCTTGACATAAGTGTCGTTGCGATACCTATATTCTTGTGCATTGTTGCAGGTACGTTTTTGGAATTACACACATTCCTCGTTTGGAAGACTGGCCAGTCATGCCAGTAGAGCGAATTGGTTTTATGCTTATGGTAATCCACTCATAATTTTGCAACAGAAATTTGTGCTTTTTTAATGGTTGCTATATCACTAATTGTTTGTTGGCATTAGAAGTTTGAACATGATTTTTCCTTCCAACTCTATGCTCTAGTCATGGTCATGGCATTTTCTTGGGACATGCACTTTTTGCATGCAAGTTTTAAAATTAAATAGATCATGCTTATAAATGGTATTGAAGTAAAGTAGGTTTTACGTTGTTAGAATTCTTGCTGTACGGGTACTTCTAAAGATGCTATATGCTGAAGGAAACATTTTTAAAACAATGCACCAAAGTTCCTCCAAATACACCCAAAATGATGAGTGGACTGGTGGTGCTAGGAGCTAGATATCAACACCATCTACACAATAATAGAATTTTAGTGCACAAAACTGCATTGATCATTTGTTTGTTGGCATTGGTTATATAATCTGTTGTGAGAAATTTGTTGGATTCATCATTCTAATAATGTTACGGGAAAATCTATTAATGTTGGAGCTAATTCCTTGTTGAGGTTCATCGTTCAAGAAATGGTTTGCAACAATTCTAGCCATCTTGCCAGTCCATTCTATTTTTAGTACTTCAACTGTTTCTGGATCTCTTGCATATTTCTCTAATGGTGGGGTATGCTATTGACATCTTTAATATGGTTTGTCTTAATTTGTCCCCAAAGCCATAAAACCTAACATTTAATAACTGATTTTTTGGTTCGAGTTTGGAAGTCTGGGACTCATAGACCCCAGTGATATTGTAGCCGCAACGTTTGTGTATAGACTACCTCTGTATGTATATACATCATGCACAGTGTAAGGAAATTTTCTTAAATTTGTACATCTGCACACAGTACACATGTTTTTCTTTATCTGCTTGCTTGTTCGTGGCCATTTCGTTGAATTTAAATGATACGATTATTTGCAGACAAGTCTTGATAGTTGAAGCTCCAAAGTTTTATTAGCCTGCCCTTACATTGGTATTTTTGCATGCCAGCCCCATGGATTTTTCAATTGCTCTCCAGCAGTGGATGTCCCGCCGAATGCAAGTGATTTGGATCTCAAGGACAATATTGTGACAAAGTCGATTCACAATGGATTGCTCGCAAAGCTCTAAAAAAGGTCGCTGAAGGTGGGTTGCCTCCGATTTGATTCAGTTTCTTGTTAACAATATAGACAATCGATCAGTGGCCTCCCAAACTCAAGTTTTACTTCTTAGGAGTAGGATCTTGAACATGTATTGGCTTTTGCAGTATGTTGTTGAACATTATTCAATTTACTGATGGGCTCGGGCCCATACCTTTTGGAATGACGTTGATGGGAATTGGTGGTAGTTTTAGAAGCTTTGTCAACCGGTTTTTGTCTTAAAAAATACATGATAACCATGATTATGTTGAAGGGATTCACCACTAACAACTAATTGAGTAATTCATCTAAACATTGTTGGGGTTGTTGGGGAATGCTAGCCGTAAGCCCAATCAATGTAATCTTTTTCGAGGGCTCTCGTCAAGGGGTCATGGCCGGTATCTTTATCAACCCAAAACAATTCAGATAGAAATAGCAATGGTAATGGTACAAAGACAACCTTGCTATTACCATTGCAGACGGCAGCTTTGAGACGCTCTTGGCCAAAATGATATAAATGTTATAAAATGTGAGGTTCTCAAAGAAAGCTGCAGTGATGCAGTCTGTGGGGCGGACTGCACAAGGTTTCGGCCAACCTTTCCCTAGTTCTGGCTGTTCCAGTTCATAATCTTGTATTCTTATGTACTTTCAAGTAAGGTTTAAAATTGTCATGCATCGGTTTGTATTGGTCGATTATTGTATTGGGGCCTTCCCAATATGTTCCTACAGGGGGTGTATTTGGTTAGGCCATGGTTCAGAGGATAGTCGAGACTTAAACTGATTCTTCTGAATCGATTTTAAAAATAAATAAATAAAGCATTAAAAAAAGCACTGATATATCGACCTGTATCAATATTTATAACCTTGCTTCCGAGGCCTGAGCTGGGTAAGTTTTCTCTATGCATCCCTTAAACTGGATTACCAGAATTGAGTCTTTTCAATTGGCGGGGACCTGGCCCAGACTCAATTGACAATAGTTTAAAACAACCTTTCACAGTTCTGGCTGTTCCAGTTCATAATCTTACATTCTTTTGCACTTCCGAAACCTGAGCTGGGTACCCTTAAAGTGCTCTCCACGCATCCCTTAAACTGGATTGTCAGAGCTGAGACTTTTCAATTGGCTGAGACCTGGTTCAGACTCAATTGACAATAGCTTAAAAAGGATTGGTAACTAGAATCTATAAACTTGGGTGCGTGAGGCTTGAGGCTTGTGCTTATCCAACTAAGTTGTCACTCAACAGGGAATCTTCCGGAAAAGGAAAAATTGCAAGCAAGAAATTAATAGCCGTTTCCGTATGGGTTGTCCGATTGCAAGTTTTTTCGTCATCTATCTCCTCGCCTCACTGACTTCCTCACAAATCACAGTCTACAGAATGAACCTCTGGTTGTGGGTGGGTTCGAAAATTGTAGTAGTTAAACCCATACTAAGCTTTAAGCTTGCCAATGAGCCAATCATCTTTCCTGGTATTGAATCAATAATTCAATGCTTTCGACAATCATATATCCAATTATTCTAACTCAACTTGATGGCGATTTGCGAAGCAGGAGGAGGGGTCGCGTCAAACTGAACAGGGAAAATTGGAATTGATTTCAAGCAAACAAGGAGCTGCCTGGGTTCCGTTGTTGTGAATTCCAGGAAGACGAACTATGTAGAATAATTATGTCTGGTCTGGTCCTGAGCCTAACATCCTTGAATATCATGCTTAGGACTGTTAAGGAATTGGATATGATGATCACTATCCACGGGAGTCTGACCGGCGAGTTCTTGCAATGATTTCAACGGTTTGGTTTCCTTCCTAGTAGATGTGAGATGGGTTCTCACATTTTGTTTCTATCCCAATCAAGTGTTTGATGTTTTTGGTTAGAGTCCATAGCCATAGCCATAGGCACCACGGCATACTCACTTCACCTTCCTATGATGCTTCCTGTGTACAATGACCCTTCACTTGAATCACCTTTCTGGCGGATCCCTATCACACGCAGTTAGCTTGGTTGAGAGAATACCAACCCGGGCGGGCATGCAGCCCACCCAGCAGTCTTGGGTTAATTACCTTCTATGATGTCATTCCAGAATTGCGCTGTTGTAGAACATAGAATTCCTCGGTGTAGTGGTCTGCAAGACTGCAACAGCAATTCTGTATTCCAATATACATTAGTTTAGAATGACAAAATGGGTGGCTTTATCATTGGAAGGAAGGAAGCAGTTTGCAACAAAACTAACATTAATTAATCTGGGTTAGTCAAGAGCTAGTTCTTAGTTCCTAGTTCCTAGTTCCTACCTTGTGGACCATTTCCTGATGTGCCTCAGGCATCTGTTTAGTCATTAGTGAGACTATAAGCAGAGTATGAGAGCGTCGTGTGTGTGTGTGTATTGAGTAGTGAGCGCTTGGTTACTGTGTTAATTTTGTATTCTAGTTTGTTAGGCCGTAGAGCCGTGTTATATTTGGCGACATCAAGTTATCGACGTTGGAATGTGAAAACAGGGATGGGATGTTGATGTTGGAGTCGGAGACGTTTCAGGGGGTCCCCACTCCAGTGGTACCAATTGGAGTAGTTACAAGCCCATTGCTTGATTTTGGTTACAAGAAATGAGTTAGCTTGATTGGAAGGGGACTGATCGAAGAAAGGAAGAAACCTTGGTGTTGTATCCAGCAACGAAAACGCCTCGTGTCAGTTTGGTTGTCTAGTGTTGTTGACTGGTGCTATAGTGTAGCTAGGGTTTGCTTGCCCCATTGCCATTGATTGCTTTCTCTCTCTCACCTTACCCAGCACCAGCACTCAGCAGGCAGCAGCCCCACTCCAATGGATAGAATTCCTCCTCCCGTATCCCGCCCCAAGAGGCAAGAGGACATCCAAACCTTGTCCTCTTCCGTTGGAATGCAGACCCAAATCATCATCAAAGTAACTAAGTATGTCGTAAGCACGGGCAGATCAACATCGATACATCGTTCTGTTGCTTTACTCATGATCCCACTGTCCTAGCCTACGACGGAAACTAAAATCACTACGATGTGTGAGCAACACAACACAACTCCAATAGTCCTATTCCTGGCTGTCCTCTTTACATGTGCCTTTCCTTTCCCGTTTTCAGATAATTTTGTTTTCTTCTACACTCTTAATTTATCATGAATGAATAGGGTTAGGGTTGAGGTACTTTTTAGTTAACGTGGAATGAACTCTAACTATGTCTAGTAAGCAACGACTTGGTGCAGCTCTTGGAAACTTCGCCCCCGCCAGACATGGTGGAATCTATCCATCAAAAGGCAACGCAACTACTAGGCATGTCTTTTCATGGGTCCTACCTACCTTCAGCTATGGTTTCAATTGAGCATTTCTTGTAAGCTTTTTTATGCATTCAATTCCAATTGCACCGTGGGATAAATTCATTCTATTTTTTTGTTGCAAGATAAGGGTTGAATGAAGTTCTCAGTCTGAGTGGGACCCTTTGAAGAGCAGTGGGTTGTGAGCTTTCAATCATAGGACAGGTGGCAACTTCGGTCGACACGGGAGGCATGACGCATCTACTGAACTTGTAAGTCTCAACTCTTTCCAAATCATAGATTTTACATCAATATTTAACTGTCAAATTCTACACAGGGCTGACGTATGTTTCAACTTTCAAATTCCAAGGCAGATCACCTTCGTGGAAGTATAACGGCCTTGCTTTTCTTTTCCCTCTTTTTTCGCAACGACAAAGGGGCTGTTTTGATTTTTATGTTTTATCACTAAGTATGCACATATTTTATACGTAACATTGTAATAATTTTAAATAATGATAATGATTGTAATTTTATAGTAAGTATGCACATATTTTATCAGTAATTATGCACATAATGATTCTAATGATATCCAAAATTTTTTGGGATATCACAAATATGAAATTATACACAACCTAGTCTATTAGTAGCCTCCCTAGGATTCAGTCCATCCCCATAAATCTTAGCTCCATTCTAATGATATCCAAATATTTTATATTTTATATTATTAATTGGATGTAAATTGTAAAATCTAAATCTAATTACATAATCACCTCACATGTATTGTTTAGCTAGATTCTTCATTTTGTAATGCTTTATTTTTTTTGTTCATTTATCAAAAAAAATGTAATATTTAAATAGAGTGAATTGAATGTGGTGAAAAGTAGTAGTTCAATTTATAATTTAAACATCACAATTAAATATTTAAGTAGGGACTAAATTAAAAAAATAAGTATTTTAGTAAAAAAAAATCTTACAATCTTATAAATATTTTTAGTAGTAGTGTAAATATATAATTATAGATGTGTTCAATTTTTACTATAGTTTTTTTTTGTATTTTTGTGTGTAAAACTAATTCTGATATTTTACACATACTTTTTGTTTGATATGATAAATATATGATATTATACATGTATCTGAATGCTTTTTTTTAGCAAAATGTATGCATTTTTATTTTTTTGTATTTTTATATTTTATTAATTTTTATTATTTATTTATAACGTTAAAGTTTAATACATTTAACCCAAAAGTTGAACTATTTATTATTAATTTTATATTTCATTTTTGGCTAGTTCTAAATTATATATTTTATTTTCATTATCAATAAAAATAATTATTGTTTATTGCACTTATTTTTTAATTTGATTACATAAATGTGTCTAACTTTTCTACATTTTTTGTAATTTTTTTTATTTATTTCTATTTTAAAAATTTTATTACCTAACTATAACTTCGTAGATTGATCAATTTGATTCGGATGGTTGAATTGCTTAACCAGCACTTGGATAAAGAATGCTTTTATTTTTTAGTCAATTTTAAAATATATAGATTTATACTATTAAAAATAAAATTAGATTTAATAATTTCCTTAAAATACTCTTATTGTTTAGCTAATTGACTATCTCCGCATTTACTGTTTAGCTATTGTATTAAAGTACCCTTAAGTTTTTTTACAATTGTCTAAAACCTCCCTTATCATCAAATTTTCGTTACACTCACATGTGACATAATGTAAGTGATAATTATTTTAAAATTCATAAAATACCTTGACTCCTTACGGGTCACTATAGGTTTACTCTCCGAAGAACTGCTGGTTTATGGAAGGGAGCTCCAGCAACAACTGTTGCGACCAAATCTACTCCGTATGCAAAAAAAATAGAGGAGGTTTGACATGTTTTTGCTTTGGGTCATTCCCCTCCGAGCAGATATAACCTCGTAGAAGATTATGGCCGTTGCGTCAATCTTTCCTGTCCGAATCGTAAAGCTATAGAGAATGGGGCCGATGGGACGAGAGAGCTTGGAAGCAATGGAATACTAAGGGGAAGCGATGGAAAATAGAATGGAGTTGGGTATCGATTGGGTTTGTGCCAAAAGGGATTAACCGAGTGAGAGTAACAGAGGAGTTTCGCCGCTGCAACTTCTCTGTTTTTCGTCGGAAGCGATGATGATTAGCGGAGATAGAAAAAGGAAGAGAACGATGGGAGTGATGAGGGAAAGAGAGATATGGGAGAATAAAGAGAGGAGAAAAAAGGAAGGAAGAATAATGGCCGTGGGGAGCGTTATGCACCACCGCTTCGAGAGCTTGAAGAGGATGAACAGTGGCGGTGACCTAGTGATTTAAGGCCTATTTAATGTCCCTTCCCACAAAGGAAGCCATTACATTATGCAATTTCTTCCTAACACAATCAAAACCATCCGATTGACGGCTCCATGCACGTCGGCACCTCTGTTTGGCCCTGCTCCCTTGCCCTTGTCAAATTCGTCGAGGGTTGGCTTCTCCCTCCACCCCAAATCCTTATACTCACCTTCTCAACTTCTCTGGAAAGCGAACCATTGAACTGGGCTCTGGATGTGGCCCTGCTGGCATGGAACTCTCCTTGCTCGGTCTGGACATCATTCTCATTGATATAGCCCTAGTCAGGCCTGCCCTCAAGCACAACCTCAAACTCAATAAATCCACACTTGAAAAAACTTAAAGATCAAAACTCTAAACCCTCCTTTCGATTTCGTCATCGCTGTTGATGTCGTTTACATAGAGGAGTCTGTTGGTTCGCTTTGTTTTTGCCATGGAAGCTCTTGTGGGGAATTATAGTGTCATGTTGACGGGTTACCAATTGAGGTCACCGGAGGCTCACCAGCTGTTCTTTTTTTTATTGTCACCGTTGCAAGTTTCCAAGGTGGTGGTTCTCCTTTCTCAGACATTTTGTTTCTTTCTATTAGCCATGCCAATTAAAGGAATAGTGGAGTTAGTCAATTTCACAAATAATAAAAATAGTTTAAGAAAATTGTCCTAAGACCTAATTAAAAGAGATTAAATAAGATGAAAAATAATAATTAAAGTTATATTTTTAATCTTTGTAATTAAAAATAAATTAAATACACTAAACATTTTAATTACTATAAAAATTATAATAAAACGATTTTAAAGTAATAATTTTAATATAAAAAACTTATACATTAACATTTACACTTTTATATATGATACAAATTTTATGGTTTTGGGCTGAGCTGAAAACTGGTTTGGTGGGTGGGTGATGTTGAAGGCTTGACCTAATTCCCAACCCGGAATCAGTAATAGGTAATCACTGTGCAAACATGGAGTCTACGGCCGCGTAGTATTTTTAAATGAATAAACAAATCGAAGCGGTACCATGTATTTCCGGTATCATAGATTTTTACTTTGTTTTTTATTAATCGAGTGGTTTAGCGACCAAGGAATCTTTCACGTGGTAGATAGGTTTGCAGTTGAGCACGGCCCTACGTCTCAGCTTCTTCCGTTCCGGATCCGGATCCGGATATATCCGGATCCGGATATAGTGGGCCATAGGACTGACGTGGCGTAGAAAAGATTCAAGAGGTGTCTATCCATCCTGAAGGTTCTTTTTACGTGTGGGATTGCATTGCTCTGAGTTGTTAAATTATTCCTCCACGTGGCTAAAACGAAAGAGGTCGTGCAGGAAGCCCCACATAACCTCCACCCATAGATTTTTTGGTAAGACTAAAAGAAAAAAGACTCAAAAAAAAAAAAAAAAAAAAGAGCGCGAATACTAGTAGACATGTAGAATGGAAGATCATAAATTCATAATCATATGTATGAGTTGTGAGAGAGAAGGTCTGAACTCTGAAGTCTGGCCTTCAAAAAAAAAAAAAATCTGAAGTCCGAAGGTGGGGGAGGGAGTAGCCGAGTAGGGAGGACGAAAGAAAGATAGACGACGACTCGACGACTCGTGAGTTGTAAGCCTGACTTGGGACTTGGGATTTGGGAGTTGAAAGGAGGACCAGTGAGCAGTGTTCCAACGAGGGCGTGAACAAATGTCTCTTTTTCTATACGACACATCTGAACCATTGGATCATGCAGTTGTGTGATGGGACACGTCATTTTCTACAAGCTACAATCCTACATCTTATCTGGTGGTGTCCTAAAGTTGCACTGAATCAGAACCTACCAGAATCCAACGGCCGCAGATGAGATGACTTCATTTACTTTAGAGGGATAATAATAAATCAAATTGAAGTAGAACAAAATCAATGAAAAGAATTCAGCCTTCAGACTTCAAACTTTGGAGGAGTAAAATCAATGAAAAGCAGACGAAGAAAATAAGAAGGAAGCAGCAGGAGCAGCATCGCAGAGACAACGACGACGATCAATCTTGGTGGTTGGTTGACTGAGAGAGATGAAAACATAATTCTGAGTATAGGAAAGAAGACAAATAGAACAAGAAGCGATTCGAAGAGGGAAAAGGATAGCGAAAGGGTTTATCAATAGATCGATAGATAATGGCGGAAGAGAAGAGCATTGAAGAAGAACTTTGGTTCCCAGTCTTACTGGCGGACAGAGTACGGAAAGCCGTCGAGGAAGCGGAGTCCTTCAAACTTGACTGCTCAGAAGTGGGGAAACAGGTTGACCGTCTCTCCCAAATGCTTCGTTCTGCCCTCCGCCTTGCTAACTCCACTCCTTCCCTTTACGAGCGCCCCGTCCGTCGCATCGTCGCTGACGTCTCCAAGAACCTTGAACGTGCCTTGACCCTCGTACGCAAGTGCAAGCGCAGCGGCGTCCTCCGCCGAGTCGTCACCATCACCAGCGCCACCGATTTCCGCAAGCTCTTCAATCTCCTCGATGCTTCCATCGGCGACATGAAATGGCTCCTCAGCATCTTGGATTCCGACGGCTCCGGTGGCGGTACCCTCCCCCCCATCGCCAGCAACGATCCTATTCTATCCTACGTCTGGTCCTTCGTCGCCGCCATTCAAATGGGCCCTCTTCCCGAACGAGTGGAGGCTGCTAACGAGCTCGCCTCGCTCGCCAGCGATAATGATCGCAACAAGAAAATTATCGTCGAGGAAGGTGGGGTTCCCCCTCTACTGAAGCTCCTGAAGGAAGGGGCTTCCCCCGATGCCCAAATTGCGGCCGCCACTGCTCTTTTTAACTTGGCTACCGATCAGGAGAGAGTTCAACACATAGCGGCTGAGCTTGGGATTCCCATAATTGTGCAGGTTCTTTGTGATTCTCCGATGAGAGTGCAGATTGTGCTTGCCAATTTGGTTTCGAGGATGGCGGAACACGACCAACTTGCCAAAGAGGAGTTCGCCAGGGAGAATGCCATTAGGCCGCTCGTATCGTTCCTTTCTTTCGAGACGTTCTTGGACGAACCCAAGCCTCAATCTGGTAAGCCTCCCAGTATTCATTCTATTGTTCAGATTAATAAGGAGTTGGGGGGAAAATCGTTGGCAACACAGAACCACCACTCCTACTCGAATTCGCCTTTGCATTCGGAGGGCAGTAGTCGTGGTGGGCACCATAAGAAAGAGAGGGAAAACGAGAAGCCTGAAGTGAAGCTCAAGCTCAAGATTAGTTGTGCAGAGGCACTGTGGAGACTCTCCAAGGGCAGTGTCTCCAACAGCCGGAGGATAACTGAAACCAAAGGCCTGCTTTGCCTTGCCAAGCTCATCGAGAGTGAACAAGGGGAGTTGCAGCTCAATTGCTTGCTGACGATAATGGAAATAACCGCAGAAGCGGAGGCCAATGCTGACCTTAGGCGGGCAGCTTTCAAGACCAATTATCCTCCGGCAAAGGCGGTTGTTGATCAGCTTCTCAGGGTGATTCGAGAGGTAACCAGTCCCTCTTTGCTAATTCCTGCCATAAAATCAATTGGGTCGTTGGCTCGCACCTTCCCTGCAAGAGAAACTCGAGTTATTGGTCCTTTAGTCTCCCAGCTCAGCAACAGGAACCCAGATGTGGCTACAGAAGCTGCTATTGCTCTGGAGAAGTTTGCTTGTCCTGAAAATTTCCTTTGCGCGGAGCATTCAAAGGCGATCATAGACTTCGAAGGGGTTCCACCTCTAATGAGACTACTGAGGGGCAATGAAAATGCTCAGCTGCATGGACTATCTCTCCTCTGTTACCTGGCATTGCATGCTGGCAATAGCGAGGCTCTGGAACGAGCAAGGGCATTGACGATTCTCGAGGGTGCGGCTCGTACTGTGGCAACTCAATATCCTTCTCTGAGAGAGTTAATTCCCAAGGCCATATACCACCTCGAGGTTTATCAGGCCGGAAGTCATCTTCACAGGCAATCTTATATCCCATAAACAAAAATTTAGTGAGATGTGATACAGATAATTCATACAGGTTTCTTGGAATGTAACATAGTTGGACCAGTTTGGTACCCTGTGAACATACAGAGCAAGGCTACTTGATATGAAGATTGTTGCACATCAAGGGAAGTAATTGCTCTTCCATTTTAATAGCATTGAGGCAATGCACTACTCTTCTGTTTTAACACAGATGAATAGGAGGATCGGAGAGTATGGCCGTTGTTAACTGCACATATTTGGATTTGCTTGTTTTCATGGAAGAAAGAAAGCAGAATTTTTGCTGTCCCTGCCTTTTATCTCTCCTTCTGTGTATATGTTTCTTTTGCTTTCACCTTTTTTTTCTTTCACAGGTTTTGTGATTTTACATCTAAAGAAAGAGTTTCTTAACAAGTGCATTGATTCATTTAGCAGCCTTTGGATTATTATATGATGCTGTAAGTACTGCAGATTTTGCTCTTGCGTTTTGGCTTTCTACTGTTCTACCAATGTTTACAAGTTGAAGGGGCTAGGAGGGCTAGTGGTAGACCAAAAAGGACATGTCTAGAAGTAGTAAGACATGATTTAAGCACTAATAATTTAAAAGTGAATATGACATTAAATAAAACGGATTAGTGAAATAGGATTCATGTAATTGACACCATATATTTGGGATAAAACATGGATGGTGATGATGATCATTCTACCAATCTTTCCTAAGATTTCATTTATTTCCTTTTAATAACTTTCTTGCATTATTCTCTTCTGAACACAATCTTTTGCCAACTATATAGGTTCAGCTTCCAACATACCCATGTGATTTTGTGTCATGTTGACAAAATGCGTTGTGTTAGAAGAATAGGGTCTGCATCTCAAAAGGATTGCATTTCAGTGGAAAAAAAAGGAAGCACACCTCCTAGCATAATGCTGTAGGGAATCAAAAGCATTGTTAACACTAAGCATACTCAAAACTATGATTGCCCTCCCAGAAGCTCCAGAAACAAATTAGCCTTCCCTAGCGCCCATTAGTAGGGAAGTTTGTTGATCTTATAACCACCTGAATGACCTTTTCAAAGAAGATGCCAAAGATCGAGCTTTTCTGATCAGGTACCTTATAGGGGAATGTATGGTTCTTTTTTTAATTTTGTAAATCTGTTCTCTTCTCTCTGTATGGTCTGCTTAATGTTGTTCTGTATATTGTCGCTGCTGTCTAGCCTGGATAGGCCAAACTGTTCTCTTGAAGGCACTTAATACAAAATTTTCAATTAATTATCAAAAAAAATGTTGAGCATGAATATCTAGGGCTTCCCATACTTGATCTGCTTGCTGTCACCTTTTTTAGGCAGAGAAAAAGGCCATATTAAGAACAAAAAGATGAGAAGGACAACACCAACAAATAAAGGGAGCACGGGAAAGACACTAGGCAACTAAACCTCAACTAAGAATTTGCTTGGAGGGAATCTGTCCCTCCTTTTATTGATAATATTCTCTCTTTCAAAAAAAAAAAAAAGAATTAAACATAATAGAATCCCAATAATGACATATATCATAAAAATATATACCACAAAAATCCTTTAAGATGGAGTTCCTGGAAAGGGTTGTTCTTTCTTTCATGCCAGTCACTCTTTGGACAGCCTGTTGCTTCCCTTGAAAAATCCTGTTGTTGCTCTCCTCCAATATGTGCCAATATATAGCAAAAGGGACTAAATTCCATAGGATACGCTGTATTGAAGCACTCTGGAACTCCTCCCTGTGTCCCTATGTGCCACCACCCTCACCATGATTAAATCAATGTTAATGTTGATATATTGTAATGCAGGAGCTGAAATTGAAGAGAAATCATGGAAGTGGTTATATGGTTAAGTTTCATTTTTCTAGAAATTTACTATTCTTAGCAAAAATCAAAATTATTAGTTACAGTAATCCTAGAGCTTACTAGTAAAATTGTGATTTAGTATTTCTAGTAGGTTCTTGTTCTTTTAGGCTATGTTGATATATTTTTTAAAGACTGTTGAGGTTAGAAGTTCGGTGTCAATCAAGTGGTCTAATTTAGTAGGCCTTTTTATTCTTGGTTATTAAGTATTTGAGTTTGTTAAGAAAGTTTGGGGGAAACAACTAGAAATGGAGAAAACCTCAAGAGATGGGCAAATGTTAGAAAGGAAGCTAACTAATAGTAAAAGAAACTCTGAGACATACGATGGATTTTACAAAAAAAAACTAGGTGCAACAGAAGGTGAAAGAAATATGCAAATTCCTCCGTCATTGAGGAAAGCACAAGCAGAAAAGAACTTTCAAAAAAGGGAAAATCTATTATGCCCAATATACATTGTATCAGAAGAGCTTTGACCAATCAAAAACCACCTGTGAATTTTGATAAATACCACCTAATTGGTTAACACTTTTATGATACTGGTTGATTGGTCACAAGTTTTTCGGATATAATGTCTTTCTGGTATCATAGTCGAACCCTGCAAAAAAAACACAGCAGATAATGAAGTTATTCGAAGGCTTGAAGCTGCTGTGCTATCCACTCGATTTTCCAAAATAGAACAAGTTCTTCCATCTTCAAAAATAAAGGGACAGTAAGAACTAAGAACTAAAACGGGGTTAGATGAGGCAAGGACAGTAAGAACTAAGAAGAGACAAGCTGCTGTTCAAGCTAAGCCGTTCATCCAAGAACAGAACTAGTAAAAACTATCGTGAAGAAGAATCCACAATATATGTTACTGACATGACAGATGGTGTCACTCTATGTAGAAGTAGAACATCACCTATGGCATCCTTTTGGACAGTTAAAAAAACTATGGATCGGGAAAAGAGTCAATTATAGTTGATGATTAACAATCAAAGGCATCAATTAAGTTTTTGGAATACAAGCGCCTGGAGCTTCAATTGCTTAACTCCTGAAAGTTCTACATAGGACAAGCAAGAAGTTAGGTTGATACTGGGAATTAAACGAAAAAAAACCTAGAGACCCCCTATGTGAGAAATGCTTGAACTACTGAACTAGTGTAAGTTGATTAGAATCAAAATTCTAGCTTGTGAAATCTGATGTTGATATTATGCCAACTATGATGATATGTTATATTTTAGAAGATAACTAGACATAAACATGCTATTTTCATTTTAATGTGTAAGATTCAACCTTTTTTCCTGCCAGTTTGTGCTTATGACATTGCATTCTCAAGTTAGTATTTTGTTTCGTCCATTGTAGAGGAAGTATCTGTTTTGTACATTTTATTTCACATGATAAATCCCAAGTTTTAGTGAATGCTACAATTTCTTCATCCATCGTGTTAACCTATGGAACTTCCATTTAAACCAAACTTGCGGCTAATATAGAAAGTATATTGTTGGATGAATCCCAAGGTCTTGATGAGAGTCCTAAAGTAAGGACATAAATTTGAACTAGATTGTGGTATTGAAGGAAGAGCTTATCTGAGCTTTAGAAGGAAGTTGTATGTTTGTGAACTGCAGGAGCTGATCTCAACAGCCGTCTTCTTTGGTTTCTTGCGACAACTCAATAGCATAGGGAAGTAGAGAACAGATATTGTCAGATGGAATTTGCAGTTGAAGATATATGAGGTGCTATGGCAGAATTACCAAAAAAAAAGCACTGAATCTAGGGCAACATACAAATTTCTAGGGATAATAGAATTGAACTTATGATCTCCGGTTCTGCTTATTCTTTTATTTACCGAATCTGATCTGATGTGAAAGAAGGTTGAAATAAAATACACATTGTTGGTTTGAATTTGTTGTTTCTAGACATTAAAAATCAGAAGTCAACCACTTCAAATTTGCAGAAAGGTAGGAAAAGGTCAAGTGTTTAACTTTTATCTCCGTCATGGGGAGTGGCAAACCGATTGAACGACTATATATTGGTATTAAATCCTATACAATTCTAAGTGGGATCATTCGCATAACATCTGCTCACAGAGAAGATTTTTCAGTTTCTGTGAGAGGATCCAATTCCCATGTTATACGTATATTTCAAAGGCAGTTCCAGATTTCTCGTCTACTACCATGTTAGCTTCTTGATGCATATATTAATACAATACATTTTCTAGTTGTATGGGAAAATTTTTTGGTCTTACATTAACCATTTGATATGCCATACTTTCTTGTTTAATTGTTTATTTGTTTTAGGATGATTAATGGTATCGACGGACTCGGGTTCTCTGGCTGGCGCTATAAACAGTAACAATCTTGAGTTCTTTCCTTAAAAGATACGGTTTAGCCCAGGATCAGAATTTTTAGGCCCAAAGTACAGTTGTGGTAGATGTCAGATCGGAATTGATACCAATCCACGGACAGGCATTAGTGTATAGAGTGGGGATTTTTGACATTTTGAATGTTTATAGCTCTGCAGTGGAATTCAGAAATCTGCATTGGACCTGTCTATGCTTTTCCATTTTTTAATGCACCAAAGGAGATCAAGCGGTGCGGTGCAGTGTTTTAGAGTTCACATCTGCACCCCACGGAGGGCACTCCACATGCACATCTCAGTGTGCATTGGCTATTGGGAATATCTTCCGTCCCAATACACGGTTGGAATGTGCTGTGGGGCGTTTGTGGGGCACAGATATGAATTCCAGTGTTTAGCTTATGTGGAAGCTCTGGTCTCTTCCAAATCTACACTTATTAGCACCTTGGCTGGGCTTCTATTCTTTATTTCTCTGCATGTGTTTGTTGGCATCAGACGGTGAGAATGGAAGCTTTGTATGCTGTTTTTTACTAGGTTTAACAGTCCAATACGTCATATGCAAATATACAATAAGCATTGAATTCAACTACATTTTTTTTTTCCTGAATGAAAAAAGAATGTTTTTGTTACAATGGCACACCATTGATCAATTGACCCTAGTCAATGTAGTCATAATATAAGAAGATAGATCATAGATCATATATGTGGAGAACAATACTCTTAGGCAAGGTTTTAAAAGGCTAATAAAGGTGTAGTTGAGGCATAAGTTTTCAAAAATTAAGAAAAATATTAAAGTTTATAAATGATAAACGATACTCTGTGAAGATGCGGACTACCTGCACCTGGACAGAAAGACCTTATGAAGCTTACTGTTCCCTGGGATTGGCTTTGGGCCTTTTCTGCGCAGCTTAGGTGGAAGGCGAAGAAGGCCTCCTTCTGGGGGGGCCCGAGCCATCAGTGAGATACCACTTTGGAAGAGCTAGAATTCTGACCTTGTGTCAGGACCTATGGGCCAAGGGATAGTCTTAGGTAGATAGTTTCTATAGGGCATAGGCCTCCCAAAACCGTATTAGAATGGAAAATCCACAAAATATGTTTATAAGTTCTAACTTTTAAGTATTAAATAAAATAATAATTAATCAACTAAGAGTTATAAGAATTTTACATTTCATGTTTCAAAATGCAAAATTTTCAAATTACCAATTTAGAATAATGGAAACATATGAAAA